ATCTTCACCTGTGTGTATTTCCTCCCAAGCCACAGGCATAATTTTTCAGTCACACAGTCAAAGTCATACAGGTACACTGTCATACAAACACAGAAATAATCATACAGAGACATTTAGACACATACAGTCAGTCAGAGACATACAGGCAAAGACATACATGCATACAGAGACATGAAGGCATATAAAGACATGCATACATACAGAGGCATACCGTCATACAGACACATACATACATACAGAAACATACATACAAAGACATCCAGGCACATACATACATACATACAAAGACATCCAGGCACATACATACATACATACATACATACAGGCATACAGAAACATACAGGCATGCAGACACATACATACATACAGGCATACAAAGACATGCATGCATACAGAGACATGCATGCATACAGAGACATACTGCCATACAGACACATACATATATACAGGCATACATACAGAGACATACAGGCATACAGAAACATACATACAAAGACATACAGGCATACATACAGAGACATACAGGCATACAGAAACATACAGGCATACAGAAACATACAGGCATACAGAAACATACATGCAAGACATACAGGCATACAGACACATACAAACATTCATACATAGAGAGGCAAACCGTCATACAGACATACATACATAAACATACATACAAAGATATACAGGCATACAGAGACACATATGTACATACAGAGACATAAAGGCATACAGTTACACACATGCATACAGAGACATATATACAGACATTCAGAGACAAACATTTAGTTACATACATGCATGCATACAGAGACATACATACATAGAGATAGATACATACATACAGAGACATACATACATACAGAGACATACAGACATACACACATACACACATACAGAGACATACATACATACAAACATACAGATACATACATGCATGCATACAGATAGATACATACATGCATACATACAGATAGATACATACATGCATACATAGAGATAGATACATACATACGGAGACATACATACATACATACAGAGACATACATACATACAGACATACATAATTACATACTTACATCTGTTAAATCTTGTCCCCTGGGTGCATGCTGTCCGGCTCTGTGGGGTCCCGTCCTGCAGCCCAGCACCATCACAGAGCGCCAGCCGCGCTGTGTGGGACACAGGCAGCAGGGATATGATGTCATTCATATCCCCACCCCCTCCACACAGCCTGCGGCAGACACCAGGATAGGAGGTGGGCGGGCCGAGGCTGAGCTCCGCGGGCAGGAATCTCTGGGCTGCGCTCGGCCACTCTACAAGTAGTAACCAGCTGGAGGGGAGCCAGGTGCGCTTCCCTCCTTCCTGTCTGCCTGATGTCGCGCCCCCAGGGCTGGTGCGCCCTAAGGCGGCCGCCTGGGCCGCCTTATGGTAGCACAGGCCCTGCCTGGACTGTACCTTCAATATATAACAGGGATTGGCTGGGGATAGTTAGTAGGAAACAGAGAGAGAGAGAGAGAGAGAGAGAGATGCAATGGGTTCCTGGAACCAAGGGGATTCAATATACAATGTTTCTTTACATTTAATTAATTACTCCATTTTAATATAGTTTTTTATTATATATATATTTTAATAATATTGACTGGACCATGGTGTTTGTATGTTGTATATGACTTTTTAATCCTTCTAGTAGACTTCCATTCATTTTTAATATAGTTTTTGGTACCGTATATACTCGAGTATAAGCCGACCCGAATATAAGCCGAGGCCCCTAATTTTACCCCAAAAAACTGGGAAAACGTATTGACTCGAGTATAAGACTAGGGTGGGAAATGCAGCAGCTACTGGTAAATTTCTAAATAAAATTAGATCTAAAAAAATTATATTAATTGAATATTTATTTACAGTGTGTGTATATGATGAATGCAGTGTGTGTGTATGAATGCAGTGTGTGTATGAGTGCAGTGTGTGTATGAGTGCAGTGTGTGTATGAGTGCAGTGTTTGTGTATGAGTGCGCAGTGTGTGTATGAGTGCAGTGTGTGCATAAATGCAGTGTGTGTGTATGAGTGCAGTGTGTGTGTATGAATGCAGGGTGTGTGTATGAATGCAGGGTGTGTGCATAAATGCAGTGTGTGTATGAGTGCAGTGTGTATATGAGTGCAGTGTGGGGGGGTGGGCATTTTTATAAAAAAAAAAATAATATAATATTATTATTTTAATTTTTTTGTTATATTATTTTTTTAAATTTTTTTTATTATTATTATTTATATATTATTAATTAATATTTTAATTTTTTTGTTATATTATTTTTTTTATTATTATTATTATTATTTATATATTATTAATTAATATTATTTTAATTTTTTTGTTATATTATTTTTTTTTATTATTATTATTTATATTTGTATATTATTAATCTATTTATTTGTTGTCCCCCCTCCCTGCTTGATACATGGCAGGGAGGGGGGCTCTCCTTCCCTGGTGGTCCAGTGGCATTGGCAGTTCAGTGGGGGGAGGAGGGAGGCTGGCAGAGCTGTTACTTACCTCTCCTGCAGCTCCTGTCAGCTCTCTCCTCCTCCGCGCCGGTCCGTGCAGCTCTTCTGTCAGCTCACATTGTAAGTCTCGCGAGAGCCGCACTATGACCCCGCGGCTCTCGCGAGACTTACACTGGGAGCTGACCGAGGTGCTGCACGGACCGGCGCGGAGGAGGAGAGAGCTGCAGGAGAGGTAAGCGCTCGCTGCCAGCCCCCAGTCTGTATTATGGCAATGTAAATTGCCATAATACAGACTGACTCGAGTATAAGCCGAGTTGGGGTTTTTCAGCACAAAAAATGTGCTGAAAAACTCGGCTTATACTCGAGTATATACGGTATATCATTTTAAAAGACATTGTCTCTTTAAGGTTGATTTTTATTTTATACTCCTAATGCGACGGATTAGGAGTATAAAATAAAAATCAACCTCTGTCCCCTGTCTTGTGGTGAGCCGGTAATGTGCTTGGTGTCCAATGTGGGGCTTGCGGTGGCTGGAGGCTTCTGTCAAGGTGTTGTGATGGGTATATGGAGGTCCCCCCTCCAGTGTCTGTGAGTAGCTGTGTCGGGCTGGGTTGTGCCTGGGGATTGGAGGGCCCCTGCCGTGGTATCTTCGCACAAGGATGGGTAGTGGTTCCCGTGGGGGGAGGGGGCATTTGGTCGGGTATTCCCGGGGGTTTGTTGCCGTTTGGTAAGTTGTCTCCCCACTAGTGGCCTGTTACTTACCTGCGGAGGCTTGCAGTGGGTCTCCGACCTTCTCCTCCCTGCATTCCAGACTGTGGTGTGGTCCTCCCCCGGAGCCGCTGGCTGTATTGTGGCGACCTGTGGGAATGTTGCTGGTGGTGCCTCCACTGGAACCCTCTTGCGGGCTGAAAGCTTGGCCCAAAAGTCGGCTAACAGGTGGTCCAGCCGTTCCGAGAGTAGTGGCAGTGGAAGATTGTGTTCTAGCTGGCACGTGGCATCCACCATGTTGTACAGCGCCGGGCCTTCAGTGCAGGTACGCCCTGATTAGGGCCGTGCACCTAGGTCGTGAGCAGTGTGCCGGGATGTCCCTCTCCGGCAGGGGGAGGTATTGCGTCGGGGAGACCTCTAACTATGTTGGCTGCTTTCAACAGAAGGATCGGCCACTTCCCCCGTGCTGTCTGCGTACGCCGCTTGTAGGCCTCAGGTCGATGCCCAGGATTTTTTCACCGTTTTCGACCACGTTCTTGTGTATGCTTTGTCTCCGTGCTAAGCCTGCGTTTCGAAGGTTGAAAGGCAAGCGAATTTAGGGCTCAGTGTCGATTTTTAGTTTAGTTCAAGCTTTTTCAGTGAGGAGCTCTTCTGATGTGCGGCCGTTTGGCTTGGCTGCTAGGCTGCCCCCCCTCAAAATGGACTTTTGAAGTACATCAACGGAATATTCGTTATAATATTCCATTAACCCCTTAAGACCACAGTCAAATGTACAAGTTGTGATCAAAACAAAACCTGGCATTTGCGCTATATGTCTGTCCAACTGTAATTCACCCTTTTCATATTAAATGCACCCACACTTATTATACATCATTTTTTTCAGGGGAAACAGGGCTTTCATTTAACATCAAATATTTAGGTATGGAACATAATTTAATATGAATAAAATATGAAAAAAAAAATGAAAATGTCAAAATACTGTTTGCTTTTACTGCAATAAAATACACATATTTGTATTCAGCAATGTCTCACGTGTAAAACAGTATCCCCTATGTACAGGTTTTATGGTGTTTTGGGAAGTTACAGGGTCAAATATAGCATGCTACACTTTTCAGTTTTTTCACATTAAAATTCGCCAGATTGGTTACGTTGCATTTAAGACCATATGGTAGCCCAGGAATGAGAATCACCCCCGTCACATATTCATCCACTTGTAAAAATGTGGTTAATGACATTTACTGTCCACACAGGAAAAGTTGTGCCGAACAGCAACCAAATCCACATAAGGGTTAATGCTGAGCAGAAATTATGCAAATGGGAACCTAGTAACTGCTTTGGGGTCAAAGGCCGTTTACAGCCTATCAGATCTAGAGGTGGGGTATTTAGGCCTAGTTCTCATTCTGCTCAGTGCCCTGTCGTGTTTCCCTTGTGGTTGTCCGAGAGCGCGTTATTGATTCTGGTTATTTGACTTTGGCATTGATTTGAACTTCCCTGTTTTCTGGCATCCCTGACTCCTGGCTTTTCTTATCATTGTGTCTCTTTCTGTATCTCCTCCCCTCTGATGAGCTTCACTGGCGAAACGTGCACGTCAGGGGCTCTGGACACTTACTGACACATTATTGGTGTCGGCACCTAACTCTCTGCTTATCTATTGTTAAATTACCGACATCAAGTTCATTCATGTCCAGCATCTCAGGAGTGCATATTGGAGACTCTTAACACTAATTTTGTGTACTCTGTACATACTTTATTTCTCTTTCTTTTTCTTTGATAAGACCAGGCATTTTATTAAGGGGTGCCCTCGAAGGCACAAGACTCAGGAATCTTTATTCTATATGCCTTCCTCTGTCACTGTCTGTATATTTTCTACTACCTAGGCAACCTGTTCAAAAACTGTTTGTAAACCCTCTCTTTATACTTTGACCTATTTAGATGCAGCTAGCATTTAGGCAACTTGTGTGATTTTTAACCGGTTAACTGCTGCCTGTCAGCAGTCCTTCACAGGTGAGCTACTACTTTGTGCTCCACTGTGGTCAAGCATAAGTTAACATCATTCAGTGCAGGCAGCTGTTGTTAAACTAGAATATACTGCTAGGTATCTTGCAGAAAAAACGGAGCCAGGTCAGCAATCCCTTATTTTACACTTTACTGCTTGACAGCAATCTTTAATTTATTATCAAAATGCTGCTATGATCTAGGCAGCTTTTGTGATATTTAACTGGCTAATCGCCGTCTGTCAGAAATCTGTCTTAGCTGAACCATTATCTTTGATCTTTCTGAGGTTAAGCACCATAGAACATTATCAATTATTGTATGTGGAGTTAACCCATGTCGTTAGTTGTACTATCATGTAGGGATTTACTTATCCATATCTTTTAACTATTGACAGCACTGGTTTAGCAGTTGTCTTATCTCCCCCCCTCTTGTTACAGCTATTAGTGATATATAATATAGTATCACTTCTATTACTTGGGAATACACTGTTATATTGTAGCTAAACAGTATTGCTTCAGCATTAGTGTTATTATGTATACACTTTTACAGCTTGTATAAGTAGTCACAGAGTTTTACTCGCTGTATAGTCTCCATTTACTCCTGCTGTTCATATTATTTTTCTTTTTTATATTTTCATTTTAGATTTATTTATTAAAAGTTACTTTTTAATCTACAATCTTCTCAGTAAATCATACACAGGTAGAATGGCATTTGTTTCTTTTTTGTTTATTCTCTATGATATTCACCATTTAGGGGTTACCTCCCTTTTTTGTGCCCTCTACCTTGTGATATCTAAATTTTGGCCCTAGGTTAATTCTTTTTGTTTTCCTCGTATAATAATCTTTCTGTATCTCCGTCTATTCCTGACTATTCTTTAGTACGTTTTAGTCCATCCATTCTAAGGTCTGGTATACGTTACCTATCAGTCCTCTGTGTTACACAATTCTATGTGCTGGATCATTCTGTAATCCTGACATTACAACATGGCCATAGATCCTGTAGAATTGTGTAAGCACATAGCTGCTTGCGAAAGGAAACTAGAGGAGAATGATCACCGCTTGGATCAATTCGCCCAGGCTTTCAGTATGCTTATTACTCGCACAGCGCATCTGCAACCTGCGGCTGCTCCTACTGTCTCACCTCTGCCTTGTGTACCTCCGCCTATAGTATACAAGGCACCAACTATCTCTCTAAGTCCTCCTCTGCATTTTGATGGTAATTTCCAAGAATGCCGGGGATTCCTTAACCAAAAAGAGTATAATTTTGAGGCCTCACGGGATCTTTTTCGACAGACAGAGCTAAAATTGGTTACCTGATGAATCAATTAAAAAGTAAAGCTTTAGCTTGGGCCAATCCATTATGGGAGAGTAATAGCAGTGTGGGACACAATTACCAGGAGTTTATTACGGAATTTAAACTTATGTTTGAACCATTAGGCAAAGAGGATGACGCCTCTACTGCCCTGATACATATCAGACAAGTGAATCGGTCTATCTCAGAGTATGCCATAGAATTTCATACCCTAGCTTCCGAGGTAGAATGGACTAATAGTGGCTTAATCTCTGCATTTAAAAAGGGACTAGCTGAAACTATGCTAGATGAGATTGCCACCAAAGACTTACCCAAAAAGCTTAATGAATTTATCCCTTTTGTCATGCAAATTGATCATAGATTGAGAACCAGAGAAGCTACTAGAAACAAGCCCATACACATGAATATGCCTTTAGCACCCCCTTCTCCAAACCTATTGTCCCTGAATTTCCTGTAGTTCCATGCAGTTGGGGTTCACTAGACTGTCGGGAAGCAGAAAGAAAATATAGGAGAAAAGAAGGCCTATGTCTATACTGTGGTAGAAAAGGACTTATGAAAAACAATTGTCCCCTATACATCCGGAAAAATACCGCACCTTAAGGGGACAGGTCTTAGGTGTAATGGAAACGTCCTCTGGAATGGATAAAAATAGGTTTCTCCTTGATCTTTCTATTGCCTTTGAAATGAAGAACTTTTCATGCAAAGCCCTGATGGAGACCACTCTCACAACCATTGATTACAAAAGAAACCTTACTCATTAATTTGTCCATTGGTGGAAGAGATTACATTTCAGGTTACTGCATCCCCTTCCTGTCCAATCATATTAGGCTTTCCATGGCTTAATAAGCATAACCCTTATATTGACTGGGCTAATGGTGAAATATTAGAATGGGGTAAGAATTGTTATGAAAGGTGTATATTGAATGTTGCCAAAAGAGTGGGCACTATTGGATTACCCACTAGTACACCTCAAAACCCGGAAATCCCTATACAGTACCAAGACATTAAAGAAGTATTCAGCAAAACTCAGTCAAATACTCTACCTCCTCACATACCTTATGACTGTTCCATTAATTTACTACCTGGCGCTATGCCACCTAAGGGAGCAGTCTATGCTCTGTCACCTCAGGAGAGTAGAGTAATGGAGGAATATATTTTTTTGTATATAAAAAGGACGGTGAGTTGCGCCCATGTATCGATTACAGGGCATTGAACAAAATCACCATTAGGAACGCCTACCCTATTCCTCTTCTTGCTGAATTATTTGATAGACTCCAAGGCGCTAAAGTATTTACTAAGCTTGATCTTAGAAGTGCTTACAATTTAGTGAGAATCAAGGAAAACCACGAGTGGAAGACTGCATTTAATACCACAAGTGGACACTATGAATATCTAGTGATGCCATTTGGGTTGTGCAATGCTCCAGCGGTTTTTCAAGATTTCATAAATGATGTACTCAGGGATTACATTTACTCGTTTGTCTTAGTCTATCTGGATGATATCCTTATTTATTCTCCTGACATTCAGGCTCACCACGATCACGTTAGACAAGTTCTGCAGACCTTGTTAAAGAATCAACTTTATTGTAAATTAGAAAAAATGCATCTTTGACCAATCTGAAGTACAGTTTTTGGGATATAATATCTCTGCCTCTGGGTTTCAGATGGATCCTAAAAAGCTGGAATCGGTTCTACAATGGCCTTTACCCACTGGGTTGAAAGCCATTCAAAGGTTCATTGGTTTTGCCAATTATTACAGAAGATTTATAAATGGATTTTCTTCAGTAATAGCCCCATTCACC